AGCCCTCTTGGGGCCGCTGGAAGCAATATTGGCGGGCCTTCGGGTGTCTGTGGGTGCGCTTTGGAACGTTTCGGGGCTGCCTGGGGTGAGATCGAGGCCGTCTTGGGGCGGGCCTGGGCTGTCTTGGAGCTGTTTCGGGACCGTCTTCGAGGCCAGCTGGGAGCCTCGTTGGCCATCTTGGGGGATTGTTGGTCCATCTTGGGGTTTCTTAGAGGCCACCGGGACCCTCTCGGAGGCCTTTCCAGCCCATCGATTGGGCATTGTGAGCCAGTCAGGTCCGACCGCGCGCGGAGGCCGCACGCGCCCAACAAGTGAAGGCGGCACATGGAACTATTCAGGGGCAGCATCACTCTAATCACATGCTGGCAAGTTATTACGAAACCAAGGGTTCCACGACGTCTTTTTCGAAATTGGCAAAACAGAACCTTCGAATGCCATGAGAAGCTTGAGAGAATGACGTTTCAAACCTACCATTCAACTGCCGATCGAAGTGATCGGTCCAGCTTGTCTTTGGGCGTCCCCATTATCGGTTGCCCGAGAAACGGAATCCGTTTAATGGCCACGAGCTCGCAGAGGCCCCCAAGGGCTCTCGAAGAGGCTCCAGTATTGCTTTAGAGAGCCGCAAGATGGCCCCAGAGGGCGCCAACATAACCAAAGAGAGCCCCCGCATACCCTGGAGACGCGCTTGGACAGTCGAAGAGGGCCTCAGCAGCTCGCAAGAGGCTGCCCAAAGGCTCCCAAGAGGCCTTCAAACAGGCTCCCAAGAGGGCCCCGGAGAGCCCAAGAGAGTCCCAAGAACCTTGGACTGCCCAGAGGGCCCAACATGCGCCCAGTGCGGCAGACAAACTTGACCAGACCAGCGTGGCAGGCCATCTCAATAAGCCGAAAGCATGTGAGCATGTGTCTTAGTCTGTTGTCTTACGTTTATGATTTCTTCCGACCAGACGTTCTCTGACACGCTCGGTGGACAAAGCAGCACTTCCCGTTCTTGTTTGGTCAGATTCTCAGCTAGCGCCACAAGATCATCCAGGCGAAGGGCCTAACCATACGAAGATGTGGGTACCGCGAGGCAAGTGAGAACACGCAGGGGGGAGGAGTGAGAGGTGTGCCGAACATGGGGCAGGTGCGCCATGCGGGCCCTGCCACTCGGGCCTTGGATGGAGCTCCCTATGGGGCCACGGCACGTGTGAAGGGTGAGCCAGCTCGGATGCGGGTACGCCATGCGGACCTTGCCGCGGGGGCCTTCGGAGGCTCCCCCTATGGGGCTACGAAGCGTGTGAGGGGTGTGCCGAATCACATGTGGATATGCCATGTGGACCTTGCCGCCGGCCTTCGGTGGAGCTCCCTGAGGAGGTGCGAGTCGTGTGAGGGGTGTGCCGATTAGGATGCGGGTGCGTTATGCAGACCCTGCCGCTGGTACCTTCGGTGGACCTCCCTGCGGGGCCACGAAACTTGTGAGTGGTGTGCCGAATCGGGTGCGGGTACGCCATGCGGACCCTGCCGCTGGGGCCCTCGGTTGGTCTCCCTATGCGGCAACGAAACGTGTGAGGGGTGTGCCGAATCGTGTGCGGGTGCGCCGTGTGGATCCTGTCGCTGGGGCCTTCGGTGGGGCCCCCCATGGAGCCACGAAACGTGTGAGGGGTGTGCTGAATGGGGTGCGGGTGCGCCATGCGGACCCTGCCGCTGGGGCCTTGGCTTTGGTCCCCCTTTGCAGCCACGAAGCGTGTGAGGGGTGTGCTGAATCGTGTGCGGGTGCCCCATGCTGATCCTGCGGATGGTGCTTTCGATGGAGCTCCCTATGGGGCCACGAGACGTGTGAGGGATGTGCTGCATTGGGTGCGGTACGCCATGCAGACCCTGCTGCTGGAGCCCCCGGTGGAGATCCGTATGGCGCACGAAACGTATGAGAGGTGTACTGAATCGTGTGCGGGTACGCCATGCAGACACTGCCGCTGGGGCCTTCGGTGGGGTTCCCAATGGGGCACGAAACGTGTTCAGAGTGTGCTGCATCGGACGCGAGTGCGCCATGCAGACCCTGCCGCTGGGGCCTTCGGCAAACTCCTTGTGAGGCCACGAAGCGTGGGAGGGGTGCGTTGATTTGGGTGTGGGTATGCCACTCGGGCCCTGCCGCCTGTTTTTCGATGGAGCTTCCAATGGGGCCACGAAGCGTGTGAGGGCTGTGTTGGGGTCGGGTGCGGGTGCGCCGTGGGGGCCCTGCCGCTGGGGCCCTCGGTGGAGCTCCCTTTTGGGGCCACGCTGCGTGGTGCGGGCACGCCATGCAGACCCTGCCGCTGGGGGCCCTCGGCGGAGATCCGTATGGGGCCACGAAGCGCGTGGGGGGTGTGCCGTGTCGGGTGCGGGTACGCCACGCGGGCCCTGCCGCTTGTGCCTTCAGTGGACTTCCCTGAGGGCCACGAAACGTGTGAAGTGTGTGCCGGATCGGATGCGGGTACCCCATGTGGGCCCTGCCGCTTGTGCTTTCGTTGGAGTTCCCTATAGGTCCACGATGCGTGTGAGGGTTGTACCGAGTCGGGTGCGGGTACGCCATTCGGACCATGCGGACCCTGCCGCTGGGGCCTTCGGTGGAGCCCCGTATGGGGCCACGAATCGTGTGAAGTGTGTGCCGAATTGTGTTCGGGTGCGCCATGCGAGTCCTGCCGCCAGGGCCTTCGGTGGCGCCCCCTATGGGGCCACGATGCGTGTGAGGGGTGTGCCAGATCGGGTGCGGGAACGCATGACGTTGATGAGATGAGGGCATATGTAGGGCAGAAGCAGGTATCGGGGGAAGGAATTTAGCAGGAAGGAGAGAAAGGAGGAAGGAAGGAAGTAACGCGGGGCGCTGTCCCTTCAACGCGGAGACCCCAACACCACAGGGTGGGGATGGGAAAAAGACAAGAAGTGGACCGAACATCCCAAGTACCCACGATCAAGGGAGGAAAAGCCACCCGACCGGACAATTGGCGTTTACCAAACGGCCCTGGGCGTTTACTAAACAGCCCTGCCCTGTTTGATTCCTTCTCTGGGTGCGTTTACTAAACGGCTTCGCGTGTCGGGGTGCTTATGATCGGGGTGGACCTTTTGCCCCCTACACGCATTCGGAAACCACCCGCGCAGAGCGCAGCTCCGGCCGAGTCTCCCCCTACCCCCCCCCCTTTCCCCCCCCATCCTGCTGCTCCCAGCGAGATCCCTCACTCACCGAGGGGTCTCTGCGCAGCCCGGCCGCAGTCTCCGCCGCGGCCCCTCCCGGGCCCCCCCCACCGGACTGCTGCGTCGGCCGGCCGCGCCAGCCCCCAGCTGCTCGGGGCTTTCTCTCGCACGCAGGCTCGGGAGGCACCGCCGACCGAGCTTGGTCCGTCACCCCCTTCCCCCGTCCCCCCCCCCCCCCCCCCCCTCCCCCTCCCTCCCCGTCCCCCCCCCTCCCTCCCTCCCTCCCACCTTTCCCCCCTTCCTCCCTTCCTCCCTCCCACCTCCCTCGTCCCTCCCTCCCTCCCACCTCCTCGCCCCCGATATTCGGTCTCTTTACAACCAGAACAACCACTTTACAACCAGATGGGTTACTTTACAACCAACATAGGATTGGAAAGTATACGTCCACTTTGCAACCAGAACGGCCCACTTTACAACCAGAGCTGACCACTTTACAACCAGAGCTGACCACTTTACAACCAGAACGGGCCACTTTACAACCATAACGGACCACTTTACAACCAGCTCAGAGTGGCCGTGCGTGTTTGGGCGTTCCGCAAAGTGCTCCAGAGCAAGTGGGCGCTCTGAAAAGTGCTCCAGAGCAAGTGGTCGCTCTGAAAAATGCTCCAGAGCAAGTGGGCGCTCTCAAAAGTGCTCCAGGGCGCGCGGACGCTCTGAAAAGTGCTCCAGAGCACGTGGGCGCTCTGGAGCCTGAGCGCCTGAACGCTCTGCGCAGCCCGGCGGAGGAGGAGAATGCGGAGGATAAGGAGGAGGATTAGGTTGAGGTTAAGGAGGAGGATGATGCGGAGGAGGGGGATGCGGAGGAGGAGGAGGAGGAGGAGGAGGAGGAGGAGGAGGAGGAGGATGACGAGGAGGCGGATGACGAGGATGAGAAGGAGGAGGAGGAGAAGGAGGAGGGGGAGGAAGACGGCCTCCTCCCTATCCCAGCTACGGAAGAGAAGGATGACGAGGAGGAGGAGGAGGAGGAGGAGGCGGAGGAGGCCGAGGAAGAACACGGGGAAGCCAAGGGATAACATGATCAGGATGAAGAGGGGGAGGAGCGGGATGAGGAGGAAGAGGGGGCGGAGGAGAAGGAGGAGGAGGAGGAGGAGAAGGAGGAGGAGGACGAGGAGGACGAGGAGTTCCCATTGTAGCCCCCGCTACCGCCACATCTCCCACTACAGCTTCCCACTGCCATGCAGCTCCAGTCTTGGACAGGATCATGGTTTATTCGTATGTCCTGCGCGAGTAGCCTTCATCCGTCAGAAAAAAAGGCAGAGCAAGCAATGGCAGAACTGACCGACAGAGCTTAGAGAGCAGGTCAAAACCAGAATCCGCCCACCAGCACGCAACAAACCATAGCGCACCAGGTCGTCGCATCACCAACGCGTGCGCAGTGTTTCGTGCGCGATGGGCAACTTTACAGCCAACATGCCTGAAAGAACCCAAAGCCACCCTTGCGCTTGCCCACGGAGATTTCAGGGAAAGGCCCGCGTGCATTCAATATGCTTTTCCACTTGCCTGGTTGTAAAGTGCCTTTCCTGGTTGTAAAGTGCCCTTCTCGGATTTTCTAAGCTGGTTGTAAAGTGACCCATCTGGTTGTAAAGTGCGCCTCTGGTTGTAAAGTGAGCCACACGCCCTCGCCCCCCCCTCCCTCCCCGTCCCCATCGCCCCGTCCTCGCCCCGCCCCACCCAGCCCCCTTTCCTCCTGCCCGTCTCCTCCATCTCCCCCCCCCCCCTCCTCCTCGCTGGAGTGCAGCCGCGGTGCTCCCGTGAGTGCCCGCCCTCTGCTTCTGGCGCGCCCTCCCCTGCAGGAGCTGGAGGACGGGTGCGGGGCCTGGCCCGCCTTCTGTGCCCCTTGCGCCCGCCGATCGCTACAATCGCAGACTCCCCGCCTGCCATCCTCTCCATTTGCGGATCGGGGAGCCGACTGGCCTGGGCCCAGCGGGGAGGGGAGGGGGGTAGGCAGGGCTCGTTCCGATTCCTCCGATTCGATTCGATTCGACTTCGATGGCCTCCGATTCCGATTCGATTAGCTTTGAGTTTCCGATTTGGGCTCCGACTTCTCACTGGAGGCATACTAGCCCGCCGATGTCCGCTGATTCGACTTTTCCCGACTCGGCTGCCGATTTCCGCCGATCCGATTCATGTCGATCGCCGATCCGATTTATCTATTTGATTCTGGGACCTCCTGGGGGTAGGCCAGCGCCGTGCTGCACAGTCGAGGTCACCCGCAGGTGCGCGAAGACAGTCGCGCTTCGCGGCCCAGGCCAGGGAGCTGTGCCTCTTCGGGGGGCGGCGCGCGCGATCGAAGGCAATCGCGGTTCGCGCCGCGCGAGGCGCGAGCGCGCGAAGGCAGGCAGGGCTGGACCGAAACGCTGTTTTGCTGGACTTCGGCTGCATGTTGCTTGTCCCTTTGGCAGGGAGGTGCAGGACAACAGGCAGGGCGAAGCGCACAACAAAACGAGCACACAACGAAACGCACCGTTTAGGTCCAGCCCCGATGGTCAGACCGGCCCCGTCCGCGCAGTCCCCAGGGCTCGCCACCGCTGGCGTCCGCCTGCGAGGGGCTCGGAGGGCACGTCCCTCGTCCTCCTCCTCCTCCTCCCTCCTCCAAGTTGGGGGGGAGAGGCTCTGGGGGTGGGTGGGGGGCGGGGACGAGGATTATGAGAGCTGAGGGCAACGTTCGGATGAGTTGGCCTGGGCGGATCTCAGGGGCAACGTTAGGGGGGGATAGGCTCGGGGGGGGAAGCATCGACCCCGAGGGGGGAATGCATCGACCCCGAGTCGCCCCTGGGGCGAGGGAGCGCGTCGGGGTCGGGTTGGACTGGGTGGCGATGCGGCCAGCCGAGCACCGGGTGCTTTCAATCACAGAGTCCGCTGGGCTCGAGCTCGCGCGCGGGCGGGGCGAGGAGGAGGAGGAGGAGGAGGAGGAGGAGGAGGAGGAGGAGGAGGAGGAGGGGAGAGGTGGAGAAGGCAAGCCAGGTGCGCTCGTGCCACATCTGACATGCTGCCCCTCCCATCCTTTCCCATTCCGCTGATCTCTGTCCGCGGACGTGGTCATAGCGGACCTGTAACTTCAAGAAAGATCCCCAGTTGTCCTGCGCAATCGGAACAGGGGAGCCGCGTAGAAAGGTGGAGGAAAAGGTGGTGGATGAACAGGAGGATGAGCAGAAGGTACAGGAGGAGGAGGAGCACGGACGAGGACGAACAGCAGCAGCAGGAGTTGGAGTGGAAGGGGCGGGAGGAGAAGGAGGACCAGGGGAAGGCGGAGGAGGGGAGAGGAGGGGGGCGACAACGATGGGGAAGGACTCGGATCCAGGAAAGGGGCCAGCTCTCGGGCGAGAGCGCCATTCTGAACGCCGGGGGCAAAGCCGCGATCCGAATTTGAGGCCCACGCTACAGCGGGATCACCATTGTGGAAGGACCGAGAACTTTCGGATTGGAAAACACATCTTAGGGCAAAAAACAACTTAGCCAGCGCGGGCCCCAAACAGAGACGTTTTGCAGTCCATGCGGTGCAACCGATGTGCTGCAACTAGTTCTTGTTCGCAATGAGTCGTCAACTCCACTGCTCGCGCAAACATACCCCCCCCCGCAACTTGGCTTGCTAAACCCATGCTGCGGCGATTGAGATGAGTGCTTGGCGATAGCTGGTGCATCTTTGCGGTCGCGCTAGCCCGCGCATGCTCGCGCGCGAAGCGGTCAGCTAGTTTGACGCGACCGGCGCCTCCGCGTTGGCGCTGGCCGCTTGGCACTTCCCATCGGGCACTTCAGTACGAGTCGGCAACTTGGGTGGGCGCGGTCTCAAGACAACGTCGACAACGGTAGACACGATGATGGACGTAGCGATGCTGGCGACGATGGTGACATCGACGACGGCAAGGCCAGCGACGGCGCCGTTGCTGATCACGCCGACGGCGATGACGTTGTCCTTGCGTCGGTGATGAAAGTTCCGGAAGGAGTTCGACACGCACGCGCGGCCGACATGCGAGAATGGTCCGCATGGTATTTGTTGACATGAATCGTGCCCGCCTCCAGCACGCACGCCAGGGCGTTCGAATGATGCCTACGTGCGGCGCGAGAGGCCCGTTTGGCCGAACCTAGTGAGCATGTCTAAAAGCAACAGATGATTGTCTGATGAAATAGCAGGAGCGCGGTCGCAGGTAGCTTTGAAAACTGGCGATGCAAAAGCATGTGTTGTTAATCTGTGTTCGGGACAGTAGATTTTGAAAACCATACAGAACCGAAGGTGTTTCCACGGATTTCCGCATGCGCGCGCGATGACGCGTGCGTGTGCACTTCGTCCCGTTGTTCGCAAGGGAGTCTTGCGACACCACGCGCGCCAGGGCGTTCGAGCGATTTCGACACGCGCGCGCGAGGCACGCTGGGTATAACTTGATGAACATGTTGAAAAGCATTGCTGGTGTTCTTAAGACCCTGCAAGAACGCGACCGAAGGTTTTTGTTTGCACATTCCTGTTGCGAGGTTATGTTTTTTCCCAACCATACTGTGGTGTTGGGTCCTCGTTTTGAAGAGACGGTCCCCGCGTCCCCCTCTCCTTTCCTCTCCTCCTCTCCTCTCCTCCTCCTCCCCCTCCTCCTCCCTCCTCCCCCTCTTCCCTGCGTTTCACCCACCCAGTCCAGCAGTTCGTAGCCCCATAGGAGTTCCGCCGAAGGCCCCAGTGCTGCCGCCCGCATGCGTCACCCGCACATCCTTCACACGCTTCGTGGCCCCATAGGAGCTCCGCCGAAGGCCCCAGTGCTGCCGCCCGCATGCGTCACCCACACCCAATTCGGCACACCCCTCACACGTTTCGTGGCCCCATAGGAGCTCCGCCGAAGGCCCCAGTGCTGCCGCCCGCATGCGTCACCCACACCCAATTCGGCACACCCCTCACACGTTTCGTGGCCCCATAGGAGCTCCGCCGAAGGCCCCAGTGCTGCCGCCCGCATGCGTCACCCACACAATTCGGCACGTTTCGTGGCCCCATGCAAGGCCCTGCTGCCGCCCGCATGCGCCACCCACACCAATTCGGCACACCCCTCACACGTTTCGTGGCCCCATAGGAGCTCCGCCGAAGGCCCCAGTGCTGCCGCCCGCATGGCGTCACACGCATGCTGCCGCCCGCATGCGTCACCCACACTCAATTCGGCACACCCCTCACACGTTTCGTGGCCCCATAGGAGCTCCGCCGAAGGCCCCAGTGCTGCCGCCCGCATGCGTCACCCACACCCAATTCGGCACACCCTTCACACGTTTCGTGGCCCCATTGGGGCTCCGCCGAAGGCCCCAGTGCTGCCGCCCGCAGCGTCCCGCACACCGATTTCGGCACACCCCTCACACGTTTCGTGGCTCCCTAGGAGCTCCGCCGAAGGCACCCGTGTTGCCCCCCGCATGCGTCACCCCCACCCAATTCGGCACACCCCTCACACGTTTCGTGGCCCCGTAGAACTCCGCCGAAGGCCCCAATGCTGCCGCCCGCATGCGTCACCCACACCCAATTCGGCACACCCCTCACACGTTTCGTGGCCCCATAGGAGGCCCGCCGAAGGCCCAAGTGTTGCCGCCCGCATGCGCCACCCACACCCAATTCGGCACACCCCACGCACGCTTCGTTGCCCCATAAGAACTCAGCCGAAGGCCCCAGTGCTGCCGCCCGCATGCGTCACCCACACACAAGTCGGCACACCCCTCACACGTTTCGTGGCACCATAAGGGAGCTCCGCCGAAGGCCCCAGTGCTGCCGCCAGCATGCGTCCCGCACACCTAATTCGGCACACCTCTCACACGCTTCGCGGCCCCATAGGGAGCTCCGCCGCAGGCCCCAGTGTTGCCGCCCGCATGCGTCACCCATACCCAATTCGGCACCCCCTCACACGCTTCGTGGCCCCATAGGGAGCTCCGCCGAAGGCCCCAGTGCTGCCGCCCGCATGCGCCACGCACACCCAATTCGGCACTCCCCTGACACGTTTGGTGGCCCCATAGTGAGCTCCGCCGAAGGCCCCAGTGCTGCCGCCCGCATGCGTCCCGCACGCCGATTTCGGCACACCCCTTACACGCTTCGTGGCCCCATAGGGAACTCTACCGAAGGCCCCAGTGCTGCCGTCCGCATGCGTCACGCACACCCCATTGGGCACACCCTTCACACGCTTCGTGGCCCCATAGGGAGCTCCGCCGAAGGCCCCAGTGCTGCCGCCCGCATGCGTCACGCACGCCCAATTCGGCACACCCTCACACGTTTCGTGGCACCAAAGGGAGCTCCGCCGAAGGCCCCAGTGCTGCCGCCCGCATGTGCCCCGCACATTCATTTCGGCACACCCTCACATGTTTCGTGGCCCCATAGGAGCTCCACCGAAGGCACCAGAGTGCTGTCGCCCGCATGCGTCCCGCACACCCATTTCGGCACACCCATCACGCGTTTCGTGGCCCCATAGGGAATGCGTCCCGCACACCCATGTCGGCATACCCTTCACACGTTTCGTGGCCCCATAGGGAGCTCCACCGAAGGCCCCAGTGGGTGTGCCCGCATGCGTCCCGCGCATCCATTTCGGCACACCCCTTCACGCGTTTCGTGGCCCCTCACACGTTTCGTGGTCCCATAGGGAGGTCCACCGAAGGCCCCAATGGGTGTGCCCGCGTGCGTCCCGCACACCCATTTCGGCACACCCCTCGCACGTTTCGTGGCCCCGTAGAGGGGCTCCACCGAAGGTCCCACTGCTGCCGCCCGCATGCGTCCCGCACACCCATTTCGGCATACCCTTCACACGTTTCGTGGCCCCACAGGGAGCTCCGCCGATGGCCCCAGTGGGTGTGCCCGCATGCGTC